GCTCTTCCACCTTCTCAGCTGCATTATATGGATTGGATTGAGGATTATTTTTACTATCTGATGCTTCTCATCTTGGAGATATTCAGTATTACCTTGTTAGATGGAAAAGTTATGGAGTTTAGATGACGACCTTTGTTGCGTTCGCTTATACTTTTTGGAGCTGTACATATGCATTTACTCTCCAGAGGAGAGTTCTTCTCAACCAGGAGGGATTGATGTTGAACCAAATACGGTCCAGAGCTTGAAGTGCACGTGCTTTGTCTTTACTATTGGAGACGTGGAAAAGATGGATAGAATTAGGGATTTTTGTTTATTTATTTCTTTATTACTATTATTATTATTATAGTAATGTTCTAATTTTACGATATTTTAATAATTTAGTATTTTAGGGATTTATTTTTGGTAGTAGGATTTGATTAGGGTTTTCTTTGATGCCTATTTATAGTGGGATTGATACATTGTGAAAACACTTTTTCATGAATATTGATTAAATACAAAGATTATAACCGGTGATTTTATTCTCCCTCTACTTTTCTCTTTTCTTCTTCTACTCCCATTCTCTCAACTGTCATGCATCAGTCTCACTTCTCCAAAATTCTCTAACATCAAGGATAACTTGCTAGTGAGAGAGGGCTTATACAAAGGCGACCCATTGTCCCCTTGTTTGTTCTTGCTATGGAGGTTCTAACAGGAAATTTGAAGCCTAAACTCTATCAACAGATTTTCATTTTCAAAGTGTAAGAAGCACAAGCTGTCGCACTCAATTTTTGCAGATGATTTGCTTTTATTCTCAGCTGGAAACATGAAATCTATTCAAATTTTTATGGAAGCTATCAACACTTTTATAATCTTTCTGGCTTGTGTCCAAACCCTGCTAAGAGCAAGAATTTTTGTTCTGGAATTCCTCAGTTTGATCATGAGGAAATTGTTTCTGCTATTAATTTTCAGTTGGGGGTCCTTCCAGTGAGGTATTTTGGGTCCCTTTGCTTTCTACTAAGATGAACTGAATATTGTGTGGTTTTAGTGGACAAAGTAACTGCCAGAGCCAAGTCTTGGTGCAGCAGGTACCTCTCATCTTAGTTGAAAGCTGAAGATTGTGTGATGTGATTTTAGTGGACAAAGTAACTGCCAGAGCCAGGTCTTGATGCAGCAGGTACCTCTCAGTTGCTGACAGGCTACAACTTCTTTCAGCAGTCCTATTTTTCATCAAATGTATTGGTCAATAGTGTTTATCTTACCAAAGAAAGTGATCAAACAAATTAATGCAGTGCTCAGGAATTTTCTTTGGAATAGGGCTGATCTAAAGAGTGGTAATTCTAAGGTGGCTTGGGAAAGGTGTGCCTACCAAAAGAAGAGGGTAGATTAAGTATTAAGGACTTGGCTTCATGGAAAAAAGCAGCTATGGCTAAGCATTTTTGGGGGATTTTGCAGCCTATGCCCAAGACCCTTTCGACTCAATGGATTAAAACTCACCTTATTAAGAGAGTTTTTGTGCTATGAACATTTCTCATGATTGCACATGGACATGGAGAAAGTTGTTCAATCTTAGAAGCAGTTTCAGAATGGATTTCATGCATAAAATTGAAAATGGTGAACAAACTTCACTATGATTGTTGGCTTCCAACAGGCCTTATTAATCTGAAATGGGGAAAACTGCAATTAGTGATTATGGGCTGGGGAAAGAGGCTTCAGTGGCTGCTATTATCAGTGAAAACCAGTGGAGATGACAAACACTTCTAATAGTGCATTACTGGAATTGGTTAGCAATTTGTTCTGATCAACTGATATGGCTTCCTACAAATGGTGTTCTCTCCATCAAGTCAGCCTGGGAGAGGATTAGCAGAACAGGGTGCCGTGGTTTGATCTGATCTGGTTTGGAAAGGCTATCCCAAAGCATTCCTTCATTATTTGGCTGGCTATGCAAGATAAGACTTTTACTCAAAAGAAAATGGAAAAATGGGCTTATAACTAATGTTAGCAGTGTTTTTGGTAGAGAGAACGTGCAGGACAGAATTCATCTCTATTTCTCCTACAGTTTTACTTACAGACTATAAGCTGCTGCATCTGGTTTGGGGGCTTTCCAATGGCCTTCCAATGACTCCAATAATTTGGTTACCTGGGCTATTTTATCTCTTAAAGGCTCCTCTCTTATTTCTGTCATTAATAAGTTGCTGTTTGCAGCCACCATCTATACAATTTGGAAGGAAAGAAACAGGAGGTTATATATGAGTGAATATCAAGATGTGATCACTCAAAGGAGCAGATATTGAAGTGATTATATCCAGAATTATTTCTTTAAAAGATTTTCCTCCTTCCATGGCTAATAAATGGATTTGTAGAGAATGGAATCTTCCTTTTTCTATTTTGAAATGTGGTCTGCTTTCAGTATGCTTCGGTTCTCTGCTGCTATCTCGGGAAATAATGCTTCTTCCGGTCATGAAAAGAGGGTATGTCCTTGCCAGTGTTGTTAAAGGGGCGCCTAGGCGCGCCTAGGCTCAAGGCTCAGGTTTAGCACCTGTTGTTGTCCCAGGCTCACTGATGTTTACTAGGCGCGCGCCTCGGTTGCGCCTCATCCTGTTTGTGAGGTACAACTAAGCGCGCCTCACTGATATTTGTTTTAAAAAATACGATTGTTCTATTTCTTAAGCCAAAAAGGGTACTTTTGGCAACCTAATAAAAAAAAATTTAAATTAAATTAAAAAAAAAAACTCAACCATACGATATAAGGAACTTTTGTTCAAAAGAATAAAAAAATAAGAAAGCCCAAGAATCAGAGTGTAAACCGAACAACGATAGAATGAGATTGTGAGACGAAGACGAATCCCTAATTGCAGAGATGAACGACGAAGCCACGTCATTCTTTCTTTTCTTTTTCTTTTTTCTCTCCTCCTCTAGATCTCTCCTCTCTTATTATCTTTGTTTACATCTCTCTCTTCGTCTAGTTCTCTCATCTCTCTATCTTTTTTTTTTTGCTCTGTTTTTCTTTTTTTTTCTTGTTAACAAATTTTTTTTTTTTTGTTAACATATTTATTTCTTTTCGTGCTTTGTTTTGCCATTCAAAAAACACATTTTGCTTTGCCTTTCAAGAAAACAAATTTGTACTCTTCTTTATGGTTGTTGGATGCTTGTATAGTTGATGAATTTACTTTTTTATATTTGATATTAATTTTTAGAATATTGATATGACTTATGAAATATGAATGTTATTATGGTAGTTTAAATTTTCAATTGTGCGCCTCACTTCACTCAGGCGCGCGCCTCGCGCCTAGGCTCCAAAGGACCTCTAACGCCTTGGTGCGCCTTAGGCCTTTAATAACTATGGTCCTTGTTGTGTGAATGTTCTCCTTTTTGAGCAGTTGTAAATCTTGTCTGCAGGGTGTTGACTGTTGGCACATAGATAGTGTATGTATTTTGAGGATGGGAATGCCTATTTACTGGGCTATTGATTTCTGCTTCAATGTATCTATGATACTTCTGTATATGCCCTTCTGGTGGAATTACAGTCCTGCTCACTACTTATTTAGTAGTGTTAGCTGGCTACTATTATGGCGTTGGTATGGTTGGACTATGATTCAGTTTTATTTTTGTAGCCTTGGTATGCATCAGCATCTTCAGCAAGTTCAAGATTGCTTTGTTGGATAGATGTGCTGTCTTGTTTTAAATTCATCTATCCTTTTTCTCTGTTTCTCTTTGTAGCATATTTGGCTTTGGCTCGTATCCTTTTCTTGTATTCAGGAGGTATGCCTCAGAATAGTTGTTTTTTCATTCAATAAAAACCGTTTACTTTAAAAATAATAATAATAAATAAATAAATAAAATTTAAGCCAAACTGCAATATCTATTACTCTGCTTTTCTTCCTTAATCATTGAACAATTATATTAAAGTATTCAAATATTTAAGTTACAGACTCTCTTAACAGCTTAAGCTTTTGGAAAAGATGGTTGTTAACATGGTATCAGAGCAGGTTTATCATACCCTACTCTATACTCTACTCATCTTGGATCTTTGGATCAACTCATCTTGGATCTCCGGATCAACTCATCTCAAACTCTCGACAACTTCATATTTAGTTTCAAGTTGGACACTTGAGTTAAAATCTCCATGTACCAACTTACTTAAATTACTCCTTGACAGAATATTGACTTGTTACTATATTTGTATTTGACTTTCTGTGAAATTCCTTTATTGTAAAATACTTGTAAAGCAAGAATACTTGTAGAGCAAGTATTTTCTATTCTCTAGCTACAAGTCTCTCATTTCACCTATAAATAGAGGTGATCATTGTATACAAAAATTAAAAAAGAGAGTATAACAAAGATATGCAGCCCTTTGAGCTTTGTGTGTCATGGATGTAAGCCCTAGTGACTAAACCACATATATCATTGTGTTCTTCATTTTCTATTTCTCACTTCAATCTTAACATGGTATATGAGCCAAAGGTCTAGAGTTCAAACCTCACTGTCGCCCTAATAATTTTAAAACTGAAATACGTATTGGACCAAAAGAAGGCCACGCGTGACACTCTGTAACAACTTAAGCTTTTGGAGTAGATGGTTGTTAACAAATTATATTTCAACTGTTACATTGCGAATCCATAAATTTACATGATAAATGTACCAAATAAATAATTTCTCACCAAAATAAATTAATAACAAAAATATGGAATAATTACGCATTTTATAATACAATTTCCATCAGTTAAAGTGCAATATTAGAAATCCAGGAGAATATTTGGAAGTTTCAGAAATTGATAATAATTTGTAAACAGTTAAAACATATGGACAACTTGAAATTTTGCTAAACAAGATTAGTAAAATTGATGACAAATATAGGATAGCATAGGTGAAATCAAGTATGACAATGATGGAAGACGAAGTATGAAGCGTTCATTCCGAGGCTTCAAGCTTCAAACTTCAAAATGTTTAGGTAAAAAAAAAAAAAAAATTCAATATTTGCAACACAACATTTACAATTGTAATGTTTAGGTAAGATTACTCACTTTGTATGCACAAAAACGGGAGCGGCCATATACTCTTCTCCGCCATCCTGAACTTTATCTTTGTTTTCCTTTTCAGAACTCAAATTAGGATTTTGTGAATGGGAAAGGGTTGGGGAAGATGGGTCTGGAATACCATGTTTTAACAAGTCAACCTGCAGAGAGTAAATATTTTTGTTTTTGATAAGTCAACCTGCAGAGAGTAAATGGAATTGTAATATCATGCCATAACTTCAAATTTGGATTTTAAAAAATGAGAAAGAAAAAATAAAAAAAATAAAAATTGATTTACAAAAATTAGAAAAATCAAGGGAAACAAATTTCCAATGAAAGAATCACAGGCCACATTCTCAATTAAATAAAAGGCCATAAGGTAGGGAATTTTTTATTTACTACCAGAACTTTTTTTGTCAAGTACTATTTGCACAAAAAAAAAAAGAAGAAAAGGGGAACGCCTACACAAGGCCAAAAAAGGCCCCTAAACTCTCGAAGAGTCCAAAAAATCTACAATTTCCTCCAAGGATTTACAATTTTTCCCTAGGACCCAACAAAAAAGGGTGCTACTAATGGAAAACTTCAATGATCCAATAGGGGTCTTCTTTCCTCGGAAGGATCTCCTATTTCTTTCAAACCGTAAACACCACCAAATGCACAAAGATGCTACCCATTAAAAATCACGGACTTAGACCCCCACTGTACAACCCATCCAAGCCTTTGGGTGACCTAGGCATAACCCACTGAACCCCAAACAAACCCATCATCAGAATCCATAAATCCCGAGCCATTGGGCAATGCAACAAAAGGTCATCAACCGTTTCCTCATCATTCTTACACATTTAACACCAATTGACCACAACCAGTCTCCTCCTCCTAAGATTATCCTGAGTCAAGATCTACCCCAAGACAGATGTCCATACAAAGAAAGCCACTTTGAGTTAAGCCTTCAAATGCAAAATAGTCCTCCATTGGAAGGGTCCCCAGGGGTATCCCTAAGACACCTATAAAGTGTAAAATCAAGCGCCCCTAAGGAGAGGCACCCACACGCAAGAGTCAGAAGCATCTCCCCCTATTTCTTGGTGATAAAGTAGTTCCAAAACACCTATGCCATCCTCAATCTCTCAATCCTGAAAATGCTTCAAGAAACACATATCCCAAACCATTCTCCCACTATCAAGTCAATAGTAGTCGACCACCAAGGCATGTCTATCTATGGCAATCCTAAAGACTCTGGTAAAGACGAGGGCAAGAGAGTGATCGCCCCACCAAATACCCTCCGAAAAGCGAATTTTCTACCATCCCTAACTCGGAATCTAAATGTGTTTCAAGAATTCATCCCACCTTCCGAATGAATTTCCAAAGCCCAACTCCACTTGAGAGTCTCCCCTCAGCAGTGCACCATCCTCCTCTCGTCTCCCCAAATCTGCTTGCAATCACCCCCTCCAAAGTCCCTGCCTCTCCATCCCGAACCTCTATAACCACTTCCCCACTCTCTTTATCTATATAGACAATAATAAAATAAAATAAAAAAACTTGATATAATAGAAGCATTGATACATAGCTTTAAGTACTTATAAATTAAATTTAAATGAGCTACAAACAGTAAAAGAATAGTTCAATATAGAAGAAAGGAATACCGTCGACATCAAATGCCACATGTTAATATCGTGAAATCCCTCAGATACCACCACTATTATGTGACAAATAGATGCTAGGAGAACGCCAAGCTAGAAGGATTCCTTGCAGCATCGAGGAAAAGGATAATGTCATTATACATTTATCCATTATAAGAAATGAAAAAAAAAAGAAGAAAAAAAAAAAAGGGCTTTGATTATGTACCATCAGATGATTAAAATATTGTGAGAATTCAATAATGGGAACTACTAAGCACACTTTATCTTGGCAGTTACCTGAATGCCCATCAGTTCATGAGCCAACTCAGCAGATAAAGATTCACCATTTAAAATTGAGATTGTGGATGAACCATCAGGTCTAATCATCTCAGCTAAAACAGAAGGACTAAATATGGGCTGCACATCATAAAGAACTATGTTAACAAATAAAAGGACAGATAAAAAAAATAGACCTGAGGAAATCTTACTTATCAAACCCTTTGAGCACTTTTAATGAAATCATACTTATCAAAAAAAAAAAAATGGTTAGCTGTCAAATTACAAAGAAAATTCAGTACTTCGAAGAGTTGACATGATAGAAAACTCTAATAATGCCTCCTATATCATCATAAAGGCAATCTATCCCATCGGTTTTTGACTCAACGCAACCGCTACCACATTCACTTCCCATGATGATACCAAAAAATCACATCAAAGTCCTTCAGCTTCTCCATCCACCCACACTGCCTAAGTTTGATGACTTGCCTGATCAGCTCAAAGAGAATTGTTTTGCAAGATTGATTTGAGGACAAGTTATCAATGGGTAAGGATTAGGGAGGATGATATCCCTAAGACTGCTTCTAGAGTTTGTTATGACCACTACAAGTTGATCAATCCGACTTTAGGTACTGAACTAGATGCACCTAGATTTGGGGGCATGAGAGCATAAATTTGTATTATGGTGTATGGCTCCAGTCATGTACAAGGTTTGCTTATTGGAAAAGCTCCTGTCTGTAGAATGTGATACTAGAAGAGAATATTAGTCAAAAAATTGTGTGATATGTATGTCTATCTAAATGCTTACTTACAATTCTCCAGGTTTTAGTTAAACTGACTATTGAGGCTAACGATATTATTATTTCTTTTTGAAGGAAAGACGTTTGGAGCAACTACAGTCTGGGGTAAAGGACATGGTGGCATCGATTGTGGTGGCTTAAGACTTGGAGTTGGTGAGATGGATGAAGCTATCCAGGTAGCTCTTATTGAAGGTAAGATGTTAGGAGCAGGTAAGTTGTCGCCTTTGGCGTCTTGTCTATTCTTTCGGCAGCGTTCCCCTCGAGTGCATTTTAATTAAATCTTACTTATAAAAAAAAAAAAAAAAGATGTTTGGAGCAGGTACGGTGACACCCAACATGGAGTTGGTGAGATGGATGAACCCACCCACAAAGCTCGGTGTGTATAACTTTATTTAGGGACGTGGCATCAGCATAGTAATACTCACAATCAACTAGCAGCGTGAGAATCTTAACAGAATCTTAACATCCGGATAATTTTATAAAGCTGCATTTAGGTGCCTATGAAGCAGTACTAATATAATGGAAATTATCTCTACTTTTTCAATTTTTAAAAACTCATTCGAATAAAATGTAAACAGTGATTCAGTGAAGGAATGAGGTTATGGTTTAAAGAATTAACCCTAGTTCTTGCAATCAAAACAAGAGCATACTAAATGAGATCATTGAAACAAGGTAAGGAAACCTGGGTATCGAGAAGTATAATCCGATCAGCAGAAATCCTTGGTTCAATGCCAACAGTACAGTGCCTAGCCATTGCTTTGGTTTCTTCGGACTGTATAGAAAATGGTGGTATCATTCCTGCAAGATAAGAGAGCATTATGATTATTATTTTTTTTTTTTATTCCTCCATTTCTTTTTTCACTCAAATTTTTCAGGGATATCAAACAGAATGCAATGTAATACAGGACTTCTCAAAAGTACACAAATAGAAGAAGTCTGAGCTGAGCGTATATTGTATAGTTTACCAGGTGAGGTTCCATCAAAGCCATAAAGCTCGTTCATGATCGTGGACTTGCCCACTCCAGGCGGGCCAATCACTCCAACCACAGTAAATTCTGTATTATCAGTCAGAAACTGCAAGAAAAAAAAAACCAATATTTCTCACATTTTCAGAAATAGAGTAGTAGGGAGAGAGAGCTTTGAAATTGAACTTGCACAAACTTCATAAATATATATACATACATATAAGGAGAGAGAAAGAGCGAGAAAGCGTACAGGGAGGAAGCGATCGGTGTGGAATTCCCAAGAATCGGAGAGGAGATTGAGAGATCCGATTGAGGGAAGACGAGAGCGAAGAGAAGAAGCAGAAGAATCGTCATCGGCAGGGCCGCCGCGGATGAATTTGCCGGCGGTGACGAGTCCTGGCTTAGCCAATAAGATTTTGGGAGCAGCTGACTGGTTCGAAGATGAGCTCCCTCCGGTGCCTGCCATTGATGAACTCCCTCTCTCTCTCTATGCTAATCAACCACCTCTCGAAAAACTGAGTTGAGGTTAATTACCAAAATAAAAATTAAATAAATAAGGATCATTTAATAAAGGATAAAATGCAAAAAAAAAAAAAAAAAAAAAAAAAGAAAAAAAAAGAAAAAAAAAAAGAAAAAAGAAACCCTCAACTATGAGTGAATTTGCAACAAACCCCCTGGACTATAAAAATTACAAAAACCCTTCTAAACTATACATTTTTGTCCCAGATCACCCCATCCGGCAATCAGCTAGTTGGATATTACCGACCAACATTTTAAAATTAAAGGACTATAATACCCTCATGAACATTAAAGAACAAGAATGCTTCTTTTTAAACCTTAGACTCAAACACTACCTAACATACACCCAAACACTACCAAACCTTACACCCAAATAACACCAGAGCATTATCCTCCTCACCTATGGATCTCCGATTGGTAACCAACGCTATGGGAAAAGGAAGAAGCCGTAACAGGGGCAATAGCAGTGAGTTTGTGGGATTCGACTGGGTCTCGTGGTTTGTTAACGATGGAGACAATGTCGTGGTAGGTGAGGTAGCGATGATGGAGGTGACGGTGATGGTGGTAGCAGGAATGGGTTTTGTGGTTCAATTGGGTTTGAGTGTGGTTTAGCATGAATTATTTGAGTTTCTATTGAACTATTTGAGTTTCTATTAATTTGGGTGTGATTTGTGAGGTGGAGGCAATGGGTTTAGGTGGTTGAGGTGACGATGAGGGTGGTAGCAGAAGTGGATTTTATGGTTCAATTGGGTTTGAGTGTGGTTTAGTGTGAATTATTTGAGTTTCTATTGATTTGGGTTTGGGTGTGATAATCTGAATTATTTGAGTTTCTATTGATTTGGGTTTGGTGTGTAATTGTGAGGTGGTGGCAGTGGGTTTGTGTGATGACCCTTTCATCTTTTCTTCTTCTTTTTTCCCTATATTTTTATTTTTATTTATTTATTTTTTATTATTATTATTGTTATTTTTATTATTATTATTATTATTTTAAATATTTTATTATTATTATTAATTAATTTATTATTATTTTTTTTTTCCTAAATGAAGAATTTTTTTTATAAATAAGCAATAAAGTACAAAAGAGAAAGTGAGATAAAAATCTCACTGAAACACACCCCTAAGAGTAAAGAGAAGTGTAGACATGCCTACAACCACCCTTATACCCTATCTATCCTAGCAAATCTTGAAAATTGACCCTTGCAATATCTAAGACATCCCAAACAATACACTTCAATAAGATGGAAGGAGATCTAATAATATTCGTGTGTAATCTCCCATTCCTCTCAATCCATAAATAATAGAGTGTAGCTGTAAAAATAACTCTGAACACCTTGTTCCTACGGAATTGACAGCCTTCCAATGGATCAAATCAGCTAAACCACACTAAACTTCCCAAGAGTAAACGCAAGTAAGGAACAAATGATCCACATGATCTAAGTTCCTGCCACAGAAACAGCAAATAGAAGCTAAAGAGATACCCCTTCTTTGCAAATTAACCTCAATCAGAACAACATTTTGTAAAATTAATGCACCAAAAACAGACCAACGTGGCCTCCCTCCATTCCACACCATAGAATACCAAGGTACCTCAGGTTTGACAACCCTACAGGATTCCCAAGCAGCTTTGAAAGAAAAAGGTTTGTTATTCCATAAAAACTGATCTCCACCACCATGAATTCGATATTATTGCACAAACTGTTGAAATTCAATAGGAAGACCATCAACCTTCCACTGAAAAAGGTCAATGAAATTACTCAGAAGTAATTGTTTATTAGTGGAGACCAACCTCAAGGTTCTATAAGTGAACATATCAGATAAAAAGTGCCCCCCACACTATGGATCCAGAAAAGTTTTTATAAGTTGTCCATTACCAATATGATAAGAGCAGTTATCTTTCAATACACCTCTCACTACAACAATTCCCTTCTAAATTACTGAATGAGTGACCTGTGGAATCACATTCCAGTAAGAAGCATCCTTAAGATTACAATTTTTATACCAAGCAACCCACAATCTGGCAGCTCTATCGATGTCCAGTAATCTTCTCAAACCAAAACCTCCCTCAATCTTTGGGGAAGTGATTTTCTTCCAACATAAACCATATAATTTCACAGTGTTATCATCATGACCCCAAGTAAAATTTCGCATCATTCTTTCAATAATGTTCACCACAGCAGTTGGAATTGAAAAAACAGATGACCAGTAGAGAACCATAAAAGTCACTGCAGCTCGAAGTAATTCAATTCTACCTGGCAATGATAAGTTCATACCTACCCATCTAGTTGTTGCAGCAATGATCTTATCCAATAAAGGTTTACAGTCTAATCTCTTAAGGCCCCTATCAAAGATTGGTAGTCCCAAGTAAGTGAAAGGCAAAGAACCCTGTCTACAACCCAAAGTTCTTAAAATAAAAGCCTTTTTTCTAACTAATCTAGTGAAATAAATTTCAGATTTTTCAGTATTCACCATCAAACCAGATACCTCTGCAAAATGCTTCATCATTCTTCTCAGTGTAAAGACTGAAGCCATGTTCGATCTCACCACCACAAGCAAGTCATTAGCAAAAAATTGGTGAGTAACCATAGTCTTAGCCCTTCTAGCAGCATTAGAAACAATCAAATTACCACTTCTGCATTTAAATTTAAACATGGAAGATAAGTATTCAGTGACCATGGTGAAAAGCAAAGGGGAGAGAGGGCAACCTTGCCTAATCCCTCTAAAAGGCTAAAAAAACCATAAGGACTCCCATTCACAAGTAAAGAAAACCACACTGTAGAGATAGAAGCTTTAATCCACTCAATCCATTTGGTTCCAAAGCCATAAAGCTGTAATAAACTAATCACAAAATCCCACTGAACTGAATCATAGGCTTTCCTAAGATCAACCTTCCAAGCAAGGGTAGGTTGAGCTGTCTTGGCTCCAAAACCTCCTAACAATTCAGAGGCAATAATAATATTATCTTGGATTCTTCTCCCTTCAATAAAAGTGTTTTGTTCTTTCCTAACAATCTTGTCCAGAACCAATCCCAATCTGTTAGCCAAAATTTTAGTAATGATCTTGTATAGGACATTACATAAAGAGATTGGCCGAAAATCTCCCACTTTATCTACTTCTCTAGCCTTAGGGATCAAAGAAATGAAGGTGCTATTCAGACCCTTGTCTAAAACTGAAGTTTGAAAGAAATAAAGTATTGCATTACAAACATCATCACCCACAATCCCCCAATAATCCCTGAAGAATCTAGTTGTGAATCCGTCTGGTCCTGGTGCCCTGTCCAAACCCATTTTAAAAACAGTCAGCTTAATTTCATCCCTTGTAACAAGGACTTCAAGTTCAGCAGCCTCTTCCCCAGTGAGAGATTTCCTTATGTAAACTGCAGATGGAGGCGAAACCTGACCACTTGAAGAAAACAAGAAAGTGTAATGATTTAACAACAACTCTCTAATACCACTATTGTCTTAAACCAAGTTCCCATCAGTGTCTTTAAGGCTTGTAATATTGTTAATAGCTCTGTGTGCCTTGATTTTCTGATAAAAGAATTTGGTGCATCTATCTTGATCAGTCGTCCACTTGATCCTAGCCTTCTGAGAAACCAGCATTTCTTCATTAAACAAAGCAACTGCATACTGCTTCCTAGCCTCTTCCTCTTTCTGAATAGAATCCGCACACAAAGGATGGTTAGACAAAGAAGATTGGCACTCTTCCAAAGTCTTTCTGGTTGCAATGACCTATTCAAAAATAGATCCAAACTTTATTTTATTCCATAACTTGACAGCCTTTTTAACAGCTTTAAGTTTCATGATAACTCTCACAATAGGATCCCCATTCACACTTGAAAGCCAAACCTCGACAACCACCTGTTTCGTCACAGGTTGAGCATTCCAAACCTGTAAAAATCTGAATGGTTTTGGGCCATCTGCTATTTTGGTTGGAATCTTAACACACAAACCCCAATGGTCAAAAAGCATAGAAAATGTAAGATCAATTCGAGATGAGGGAAAAATAGTACTCCACTCTTCATTCATTAATCCACGATCTGGTTGAGCATAAATTCTTCTAGTAGGACTTCTATTGTTGCACCAAGTATACGTACCATTAGAGATTGGGATATCAGAAAGAATGAGGGAGTCAATAACCTCATTAAATTCCTTTAGTACCCTCATAGGTATATTTCTCCCCCCTAATTTCTCACCATTATTCCGAGCAACATTCCAATCCCCAAGGAGAAGCCAAGGACCAGTAATAAGAGCAGACATTTCAGTTAAAAAATCCCATAGATCTCGCCTCTCTTCAACTGTATTCTCACCATAAACACCACTCAGCCAAAAAAGAAGCCTTGAGTTTCTAATTTTAACCTTTAACAATATCACCTGAGCCTTAACTTCCATGATTTGAACCTCAAAAATTACAGGATTCTAACCGCACCAAATTCGGCCACCATAAACAGCATCATAGTTGTGACACCACTGCCAATTAGCCCTTAATCTACTACTAATTCGAATAAATTTTGAACTTTGAACCCTAGTCTCCACTAAACATACCAATGACAGAGAGTTCAAGCCCAGCCAAGAGTGGATTTCTTGTTGCATCCCCCTCTTATTGAGCCCCATCACATTCCATAAGCCAATCATCAATTAACAGCAGAGGGTGGTGCAACACCACCAGCTGCCATACCTTGAGTAATTCTTGTACTAGCTTCCAATTTAGCTTCCTTCTTTCTCTGCTTCTTATTTTGATTTTTTGTTAAAAGAGAACTGTCTTGAGATAAAGTATTCATGACTTATTTACCAGCATCAAACTTCTTGGTTAAAGAATTGCTCTCTTGAGGAGTACTCACCTTGGATAAAGTTTTAATAGGGGAAACATCAAGAGGTTCAATAATAGAAACCACTCTTTCACATTTAGCATTCTCCAAACCAGTCTCTCCTTGAACAATCAATAAGTCTCTCACTGTGTTATCAGGAATTGCATTTGCCTCTGCTCCATCAATATTCTTAGAAGTCACTTCAGGAATAGATTTCCCGGAATCAGTAATCTCTGCCTGTGGGACTGATTTCCCTTTTTGCTTAACAATCCATTCTGAATTTGGTTTTTTATTCTGAACCTACATTGGACATTTTGCTACTAAGTGATTGAATCCATTACATTTCCTACATAATTGAGGTTTCCAGTCATATTCAATATAAACCTCACAATTAGTTCCATGAATGTCAATATTAACAACTTTAGGAAGTTCATCATGTACATCCACTTCAAC